TAGTTACTGATTTATATGTTTCTTTTAATATAAAATGGGCTGTAAGACCCAAAAAACTTTTTGTATTTAACGTATCCGTCCAAATGTCGGTTGTTAAACATAAATTTTTAATATTAGAAAATTGAGTTTTTATCATACCTGATAAAAACTCATACTTTTCTTCTACCAGGCTCGTGATCTTTTTCCGGCTGGGAATCTTGTACAATGGCGCAACTATTCTCATGAAAGTCTTGAAGCCTTCCTTTTCAACTATTGCAAAAGGCAAATTATCTTTTGCAATCATGAAAATAAGATAGTTAGTAAACTCGGCCGTTTTTGTTCCTCCATCTGCAATTAAGAAAAAAACATAAAATAAGATAATTTATATTGTAGCTTATTTTGAAATGTTCACCAAATTACATTAAAAGATAAAAGACTTTAAATAATAAAACTTAAATACCATGAAATGATTTTTGATTTTGGAAAACAAAATCAAGAGTAGATTGTCTCTTTTTGACAGATGACACAACTGATGTCTCTGAGTGACCTGATAAAACTGACGTGACTAATAAAGTCGGAGAACCAGGAGATTTTTCCATTGAATCAAGATCATCATCTATAATTTCTGCATCAGTTTCATCTTGTGTCTAAAATACGTAACATACAAAATATATGATATATTTCGGTAATAAACGATCTGCACTCTGCACATATAATTCAAAGAGGCTAATATAAGTTCAAACTTAGAGATAATATAAGTATTATATAATTATTCCTAAAAAACATTTATGACACTATATCCTAAAGGATATTTCTGTACCGTTTCATATCTAGATGTCTGAATGCGAACATTAACTGTTTATGCAATATTTCTAAAATGTTTCTGCATGCATCTCCGAAACATTTTGTATTATAGATGTTTCCGAAAACTATTTTAAACGTTTTGCACAATGAAAAAAGTAATTATATTTCTTACCATAAGTTTTCTCTGTTTTGTTAAGGGTGAGGATTCTGTAGATGTGACATTTGTATCAGCTCTGCTATTCTTCATTTGAAGGTGAATTTTTGGATGTGTTCGCATCAAATGGAAACGTAAATTCGTTGTATTTCCGGACGTTTTTATTATCTGTTGGCAAATGTTACATTTGCCACCTTCATTGATTCGAATAAAATATTTCCAGTAATTACTTTTGGATGGCGGCACT